ATCGCTCTCAGGCCATCGAAAATGTAGGTGTCACTGATGTAGGTGACTTTTTCTCTTTAGTAGAACAGTAAAGAAGATTTTTAGCTGAAATTGCGGTCCTTTGTGATTCATAAAATGCAAGTCAATGGCTACCGGCACTTTGAGAGTCAAAAAAAAGCACATCAGGAAACACAAACTGAATCTCTGTGGCTCCTGACGATATATTGAGGTCTTATGAAGCGAAGCGATCGGTCTGTGCAAGAAACTGAACATTATTTTCAGCATTATTAGCTGTAATCCAGAGCCTCAGGCAAACGGTGAGGAATGATGTCTGGTTCACAAACGAATCATTCTTTTGAACAGGTTCTTTTGAGTGAACTAGTTGAACCAGTTCATCAAATCAGACTGAAGCGTCTGAAACAGATCTAGGAGTTACTCAATGACCGTCACTTCGACTGGGAATGAGCCGAAGTAGCAGCACATCTGCTCCTGTGATGAATGAATCATTCCTCCAGCAGTCACTGAACTCGACTCGGACCGAAGAGCCGCTGATTTGAACGTGTGAACCAAGAGCTTGAATGAAGCGAAGAAATTAATGGTTTTGGTTCCTCATGGATTATGTAAAAAGGTGAGCTGATAAAGACTAGTTTATTCCTTTTATAGACTTTAGACACGTGAAACATCCACATGTTTATGCTACGTCATTGTGTGATTATGTAAACAAACTGGTGAATCGGTTATTTGAACCAGTTCATTGAAACAAATTGTCCAAAAGATCTGTTCTACTGAAGAAAAAAAAGCCATCTACATCTCAGATGGTCTGAGAGTGAATTAAGCTTATGAGAGCTGCAGTAATTATAAAAGAATGAGCCAGCGCTGTTTAAATAGTTTAAGATGAAATGTAGTATTTCATGCCAGTTACTGCAGTTTTCTCATTTAAAGTGAATCCCTGCTGTTCTAACCCACAGATGATGCTTTAATTAGCAGTAGCTCAAGGAAATGATATTTTATCCAATGAAACGGCACTAGCATTTATGTAACGTTTTTCTTGATGGTCATGTAATCTGTTGGCGCTGCTTTTGATGTGTGTCCGTGTGGGACTCTCTGATGGCTTCTAATGCACCTTCAGCACCAACAGAGAAGCTGTACAGTCCAGTCCTGCATTACACGCTCTGGAGGCTCGCTGGACAAATACAATGACCAGAGATGCAGTGAAAGCAGGAGGATATAAATAGGCCATGCTGAATAACACTGTCTTACTCTAACAGCTGAAGATAACTCAGATTACAGCCAGGGGCACAGAGATGATTTGTGACCGGGAGAGAATGTTCAGCATGAAAAACCTTGACAAAGTGACTGTGTTTTCTCTTATGGCTTATCTTTATAGCATGACTGTATTGTCTCAGGTCAGGGGTGGCAAATCCTGAGAATGTTTTCTTGTTTTATTGCCGTGTGCAGGAAACCGAAGAAGATGGAGAAGAATGGTACAAATTGTGGAGAAGATGCCATGAGCTCTTTTAAAAAGACCAACAGTGCTGCGGTGGGCACGAGGAGTGTGTGAAAGCCAAAGGAAATATTTCCAGCTAATCATGAAGTCAATGAGGTCAGAATAATGCAAAGCGATCCAGAGCCCCTCCGGATGCAATGTGAAGCGACGGGGCTGCATCAGTGACATTTGCATGCTATAAATCACACAAACCCAGTTCATGACAGATGTCTGACTCAAACAGATTTCATATAGTCATTCATTTTGTGTTAACATGTGACATGTTTTTAAACTTATTTTACACAATGATTTATGCAACTTGGACTGGAAATTGCTGAAACTAGGGGTGTGTAATGTCGATGCATGATCTGATGCACATGACACAGGTTCTTCAGTCTGTTATCTCCTCAAGGCTAGAACACTAAATGAGCTACTAAATGATAGTAACTGAAGGCAGAGCGGCCATCTGAACACTGAAAGCACTCAGCTGTGTTGTGATTACGTGTTAGGTTAGGGTTACGCAGCAGACGAGTTTGATGCACTTATAAGGGTGGGAGGATTTATGATGACCCATAATCCAGGAAGGTCATAATTAAGCTTGTTGCCATGACAATATGCTGCTGCTTCCTGTCGACCTCTCAGATGACCTTCAGACAGCCAAACAAAGGAGACATGTGGAATTACATTTAATGGTTTTGGGTTCCAGTATTTTGAATATTTTGTTTAAAAATGATCTGATGGCATGTGCAATTAAGCCTTTAACTGTAAATTCACTTTTAAATATAATAATATATAGATTAGTGCTTTCAAAATTAGCGCATTAATGCAGGTGATTATGAGCAATTTTTTCAGTTTAATGGCGTTAAAAATATTTGATGCAGCTAACGCAGCGGCAGGGCTAGGGTTGGCCGCCCCATTCACAACTGCTGCTTCTGTCTCTTTATTCTTGACAAGAACTGCATTTATTCAGTCGCAGAACATCTTTACGAGCATCAAACCAGAGATGTTTCAGACGCGCTCCACTTCACTTTAGCGTCAGGCGCGAGTCAAACGAGCTCAGAAACAGTTCAGGTGACGAGGAGCTTCAGCAGAACAACAGTGAATGCTGTCAGAGGAGATGCTCTTAGGCCATGTGTCAGTCAAAACTAATTAGCCTTATTTCATATTAAAGCGTGAATGAAACTACGAGCATGCGTGTCAGATCCGCATCATGTTCAGCAGCGGCAGCTCTTAAAGTAATAGCAGCCAAATAAACTAATAACCAGCTGCTGTGATGTCTGTTCATCAAACACAAGAAAAAAAGAGGAAATCAATCACTTTTGTAGCTTTAAAGATTCATCCATATTTAATTCAGAATTTAGGGTTGGATAACTTTATTCAATTTCTGTATATTTCCTACTTGCTGACGAGCACAGGTAAATATGACTTATTATAATGGGTTTATGTGAAGATTGTTTTAAGTTCACTTAAATTAGTTGTTATTTTTTAAAAGTCTAATAAATGTTAAAATTGATAGCTCTCAATTATACGGTAATGTTGAATGGCTATAATCAATGGTTAGATATTGGGAAAAAAAGAAAACAATTTCATAGAGACATCAGTAGTATTGGTATCAGTTATACTGGCTTTCAAATTTCAGAGGTTCACCTTCCAACAGGACACTGAAGACTGACATTGTGACTTTGGGTTACGAGTCCGACTCTCTAACCATTAGGCCACGACTTCTGTGAATGACCTTGAGCGGCCCAGCCAGAGCCAAACCAGTCAAACATCACTGGAGAGACCTGAAAATGGCAGACCACTGACGGTACCCATCCACCCTGACAGAGCTTGAGAGGATCTGCAGAGAAGAATGGCAGACAACCTTCAAATAACATCACAACCAAAACACTTGACATTGTAATTGCTGCCAAATGCACTTCAACTAAATGATTTACAACTGCCATTATTTGTATCATTATTATAAAATTGCAATTATTTCAAACAAGCTCCTATGAAAAGGCATAGGGTGCCTCCACCTGCTGTGCCTATTTGAGACCGACACAAGTGTCACTCAGTGGAGCGTCAGATCGGATCTGCTCTCCTCACACAGCTGCTATGAGACACTACCTGGAAGACGCTCATTATATAAGCAGCTTTTAATGAGTTAAATATTTGAAAGGGCTCCAAGTTCAAACGAATACTGCAGCAGGTCTCTGCCAGATGCTGCCTCTGAGCTGTGGGAGTTAATCACACACACACACACACACACACACACACACACACACACACGTCTAGCGGAGCAACACGCAGTTGTAGTTGCCCTGTAACCAGAGCTCAGATAGGATAAAATATCAAACTGCAAATGTCTCTCCAGTCTGAAGCTCTTAAATGATTCATAAACTGAACACCTCCACTTTTTTTAATTTAGTGTATTAATTCACACACACACACACACTCACTCTCACACACACACACACAAACACACACAGCAGGATAGTCTCTCTGATAAGCTCAGAGCTCTGATTTGACGGAGAATGAAGGCTTTTGCCAGACGCTGATGTGTTTGCTTTGGAAAAATCAAGCTTTAATCAAACCCATGGCTAAATGTTTTTGTCAACAAGAGCAATATGTCCTTTGCTCTTTACAATAAGGTGTTTAAACTGTTGCTTCTGGCCAAATCCGAGTCTATAATGCATGAAAAATGCATCTGCTTTCATCTCTCACATCAAAATCCAGCCACAATATGTGTTTAGAGCTGTTTAAACGCTGCTTGATCTGTGCAGATTTCTCTCCTGATTCAGACCAGAACACTGACTCACTTCGGGTCAGAATTACCAAGTAAACCTTTATTATACTGCACATATTGTAGTAGTTCAACAAGCTGCTTCTGGAAACTATTCAGGAATAGTTGATGCAACAATTACAATTTCCTTAAAAAGTGCTCATCCCCAGGCATGTCAAGATATAGAGGAGTTTGTTTCTTCATGTGAACAGATTTGGAGAAATTTAGCATTGAGATATTTTTAACTTCAAATTGTTATTTCCGGCTAAAATACGAGTCCATAATCCATAATAACGTTTCCTCCAGTGAAAAAGTGCATCTGCTGTTGTCTTTCACATCAAAATCCAGCCACATATTTGTTTAGAGCTGTTTAAACGCTGCTTGATCTGTGCAGATTTCTCTCCTGATTCACACCAGAACACTTTTTCACTGCAGGAAGAGTTATTATGGATTATGGACTCGGATTTTAGTTAAAAACGTCTTAATGCTGGATTTGTTTCAGCTTTTGTCTTCTCCAGATGTTAACTGATGGACTGGAGTGCTGTGGATTACTTGTGGATTATTGTGATGTTTTTATCAGCTGTTTGGACTCATTCTGACGGCACCCATTCACTGCAGAGCATCCATTGCTGAGACACTGATGCAGTGCTACATTTCTCAGAATCTGGGATGGTCTGAGAGTGAGCACACAGTGAGTCAGTTTAACACAAATACTAAATTCAAGCAATTTGTTTGTTTTTTTTTTTGTTTGTTTTTTTTAACTCTTGAATGGTTTATTTTGGTTTGAAATATGCATACTATTGATAATACAAAAAACCTTTCCCTGGTTGAAACAGGCTAACATTTTTCTCTATGCATGATTTCTGTAATGTATTTGATAATAACACACACACTAGGAAGACCGCCGAACCTTGAGCAACTACATCTGCTGCTGCTGAAGCTCATATGATTAATCATCACACACAGCTCGCTGCTTTAAAGATCACATGGGGTAAAACTGGGACGCCGCCTCAGATGACTGGATCTCCACCTGGGCCATTTTAAACTGAGTGCACTGAAGCCACTTGCGCAGAGTGAGAGGAAATGATCCGGATCCAGGATTCTGGAGACACTGGTGGTTCACCCGGTTCTGAATGGCTTGAAGACGCAGCTGGAGACCCGCGGACAGATGCTATTGACACACAAAGGGCGTTTATCATCTAACAGGAAGATTTTGAGAGTTTACTCTAGAAATAAAGCAAGAGTGTTGATAGCAAGAGTGAATTGTGTAATGGATATGATGAAAACTTACATTTAAGTTGGACTGAATCATGGGCAGCCACATGGGAATCAGCTGAAGAGAATGAAGAGGACATTAAATATAATAAACACCTCAGACTGCATGATGTAGAAATCCTAAGCACTGCCGTTTCTCTTAAGCATTTGTAGTAAGAAATCCCTCTTACTTTTACAAAGATGGTTGAGTTACACTCCTGCAAGGCCTCTATTAGACTGATGACATGCAAGCAGACCATCTCTACCATCTGAAACATGAAGAAAAAGAGCAGATCTGCTGTCACCACTGTGTCTGTGAACAAGCTACTTTCCAATCAGTTACATTTGATAGCGTTTGATTGTTTTTGCTCATTCGTATGTAGCAATTTGACTCTGGAATAGGATCTGAAATCAGTTTATATCAGATATCAAATCAAAAGTACTTAGAGCTCAAACACAAGCTAAAAGAAATACATGTTCAAATGTCAAAAAACAGCTTCCACTGTAGAAATGCTTCAAAGTGATGCACTGAGAGAGAAGCCGGATCACACCGAGTCTGAGTAAATGGCAGGTTTACCACTTTGTTGTGGGCCATGAGCTGGAGGATGCTGGGAGTCACGCGGCTCCAGAACTCCAGGCCCGTGAGGATGGCGCACGAGGAGAACTCGTTCTGGTTCTGATTGGTCGGGTTGGCCGTGGCCTGCTCGCAGTAGATGGTCCACAGCTGGGCGAACATGAAGGCGTGGAACAGCGAACACATGTGCAGCACTGACGTCTGCAGACACACACAGAGAGAGGAGCAACATCAGAGTCACGTCTCTGGATCTCCTCCAAGCAGAACCGCTCCATTATCATACCTTGGACTGCTCTGGGAATCCTATCAGGATGACAATCAGATGGTCTGCGATATGAGATCCAGCATCCAGTGGAATGGGCATACAGCACGAGGAGCCCTGATGCAAAGCACTGTGGGTAAGAGACCCCAGCAGCAGCCAAGACAGCTGGCGAATGTGTGACACGCACTCGATGAACTCTTTGGGTCTGAGGAAACACAAGCACAGTGGAAGAGCTCAGTTTCAGATGCCGGCGCTGTCGACACACTCACACACACACACACACACACACACACACACACACACACACACAATTGTGTGTGTCACAAGTGATTATAAGGTTACCTAGCTTAGCATGTTTAATACTGTAGCTTGTTAGACAGTAAGTCACTCACTACAGCTAACAGGGTGATAAGCCTGAGTGTGAACCGATGTTAGGCTAATATTGTAGATCTACCGATGTGTTGGGTTTTGCTCAATATGATGTTAAGTGTCAGATCAGTGGGCTTGCTGCGGTTTAATAGCTGTCTAAATACGAGACGTCCTCAGTTCCAGATGAAACCTAGAATACTATGTGGAGGATGCAAAATAATTGAATAATTATATAATATGACCGTGTGGTGAACCTATGAACTGAACTCATATTTAATACCTCATATTTATTGCTCTTCAGAAATGTTATGTTTATGGTGATGCGGTGGAGTTTACCCTTGTTGCATAGCAGAAGGCGGATGGTAAAGCCAAGGCAGGTAGCGAATAACCGCTTTGTTGTCTCTGTGGTTGCCTTTGCTGATCTCCATCGCCGCTATCTGAGCCAGACCGACCTTCAGATTCCCGCCGAACGTGTCCTCGTGCAGCGGCTGACAGCACGCCTTCATGTGGCTCTACACGCACACACACATGACACACATCACCTGCTTTCAGCATTTTACATTCATGCATGCAGGCACACACTTTTATCCCAAGAGACTTAAGGCTTCTCAGCAGCCGATTTTCAGCTGATTTCA